GTTATAAGATAATCTGAACGAAGATAAAGCACCGACTGTTCTCATCAATTGTCCAAACAGAGTCAGCCATAGAGGTGAAGTCATCCAAATTTGGGATGGAACAAAGTTATGTCGGCGCATCTCGTTTGAGTTTGATTGGTGTCTTGAACGCTGTCGCTTATCTTTCTTCGTTTTTTATAAGTGATACGGCAAACATGATTATTTTCTAAGGAAAAGTCGTTACAAACGCTATTTATTTTCTAACTAGAATCATCGATCTATGAGGAATCCTATAGTGGTTTGTCGTTATCGGAATGAGTAATTCGCTCCTTTATAGCGGATAGTTTGTTGAATGCCAACCAAAAGCGACTTTATGTAGTATTAACCTTTAGATTCATGTGTACTCAAAAGATGATCTAGCCATCTTTGCTAAGGCGCTTAATGGTTGAAGGGATAATCCCGCTGCCTGTGTTATGCCAGATTGAATTGTACGTTCCCTATACTGGAAATCAAATGCAAGCCAAGTCTGTGGATGTGGAAACAAAAGCATTATGAGGCCGTTCGTGATCGCTTTTAGAATTAAGGGCTACGTTTACTTTGCAAGAACCTGATAAGTACACCCAGTTCTCACGTCATAATTATTCAGCCTACCGATGGCTACGCTTTCTCAAGAAACGATAACACTAAAGGGGTTCATAGCGATAACAAAAAAGGGCTTGATAGAAAAGTGCGACACCTTTCAAGTACCTTATGTGAACGGAGTCTAAAAGGCAGCTCTAGTACGCACAGGTCGAATAAAAGTATTAATGATGACCTCTATGAAAGCCTCGTTTTCTTGTGCAGCAATTGCGAGGTTGTTGGAACACAACAGTAGCTGACGTTTCGGCAGTGTCGCCTTCAGAGCCTGGAAAGGTCAAATTGAGATGCGATCCTACTCAACCAAACACTTTCGTAACCCTGGCAGATAAAACCTAACAAATAAATTTGTATTCGCATAAGAAACAGCTTCATTTGCACACCTACCGTTTATTTGTTGCAAGTATTTATGTTAGTTGATGGATAGCATCCGCACAGAGTAATACATGGGCGAGGACTGTGCCTGTGTCAGGTCATTGGATTAGCCTGAGGTATTTCCGACTTGTAAAAGAAGTCCTGTCACTAAGACAAAAAATTGTCAGCCAAAAAAGCGATACTCTTTCTCCGCCGCTGCCTGAAACACCGAGTCGTGCCGAACTTCATAAAATGAAAGCGACTACACGATATATGCGGCCTACCGAGGGGCAGCCAACTAGTATTGGACATGGAAACGCGACTACTACGCGCCTCTGTTCGATGCAAACAGGACACCATGTACGCGCAGTTGAAGAAATGCAAGTCGAAGGAATCTTATTGTGTTCAGTATTTGGAGGATTCCCTTCGGAGGAGGATAATGGGTGGGTCAATTTTGATTTGCGATTCTATTAGGTCGAATGCTAAAGTAACCTTAAGCAGAAAGTTTCAAAATTTACTAGATCATTCGCAAAAACCAGCTTCAATTAAACAAAGCAAAATCGTTTACGAAAGCACTAGCACTAAAAGTGTGGTTGGTAACGTGCCTGAAAGGCAAGGGTCACCGTGTTAGTAGGCATAACTCTGCCTGATGACGCGCGCTCGCTGTTAAAATTGGGTCCAAATTTCTCACAAGCGCAACCCATTTCTAAAGAAACATTGCGTAAGATCACGTGCAGTCTGCACGAGCTCCAAGATCGACTCCGAAGCAACGCTAGAATTGTGACACGAAATAAAAAGGAACAACAAGAAGTTGGGGCACTACCACCACCTCAATTTCCTCGGTTATTCTTTATACAGCAAGACCCAAACGACGAAGTCGATATAACATTTCGTATATTTTCGAGCGAAACTCCTAAAGTCCTTAACCACTATCGCGCCAAAAAGTTTAGTTCGAACCTTGCAGCTGCGCAAAGATTTGGTATGCGACAGGTTCGAGAGCTAATAAAATCAAGACCATTTAGTCTATCAATTAGTGATAAGGGTGGAGAGTCTTTAGTAATTCCTCGCCAGTTAGATGTCGATATAACGGAAGAACATCTTGAAGACGCATCTCTTTATCGCGCATCTACTGAAAAGGAATTCAGAAGTCAAAATCGAAAACTGAGCAACGAATGGATCAAAATCGCAAGCGCAGCAGGTTTAAAACCAGCAGACATTTCGCATCTTAAGATAGAAGTGCCGACATATCCCGTTTTATACTTACTTATCAAGACCCATAAATTAATACCGCTGATGATCTGGCGTCTACCGACCCCTCCACTTTTAAAGTGAGACCCATCATCAGTTGTGTAGACGAGTCTATGGATAGAATTGCTCGGTTTATACACCTAATCCTCAACCAGTTGCTTAGGCACATACCAGCCCATCTCACGAACATCCAAATGTTCCTAGACCGTCTGCGTAACGCACGTCCCAAAAGCGCGTACGTTATGGAGTCGTTCGACGTTACCGCCCTTTGCACTAACGTGTCGAATGACTCCGCAATGCTTGCCATCCGCGAGCTTCTTGAGCAACACGAAGGAGCAATTAACATGTATGGCTTTTCGATTCAGCAGCTTATGGTCCTCCTGAAAGTCTGTTTAAACTGCTCGATCTTCAAATGGTCCGAGAAATATTACGCGCAAATTAGAGGGTTGGCAATGGGACAGCGACTGGCACCAACCCTAGCCGTTGCCTTTATGTCTAACGTGGAAGCACCAGTAATCGATCTCAGGCCATTACTCTACTGTAGGTATATAGATGATTGTTTTACCATCTGTTCCACACAAGAGGAGATGGACAAACGCTTTGAGTTATTGAACAAACAGTCAGAGTACATAAAATTTACCCGTGAGAAACCANGATTGTTTTGTCATCTGCTCCTCTTGTGTGGAGGTGGACAAGAGAAGATGGACAAATGCTTTAAGTTATTGAATGAACAATCAGAGTACATAAAATTCACCCGTGAGAAACCGAAAGAAAACTGGCTTCCTTTTCTAAACCTTCAAATTAACCTATCCGAGAACGGCTACAACACAAAGTGGTATCGAAAGCCAAGCAGTAAGAATANCACTTTTAAAGTGAGACCCATCATCAGTTGTGTAGACGAGTCTATGGATAGAATTGCTCGGTTTATACACCTAATCCTCAACCAGTTGCTTAGGCACATACCAGCCCATCTCACGAACATCCAAATGTTCCTAGACCGTCTGCGTAACGCACGTCCCAAAAGCGCGTACGTTATGGAGTCGTTCGACGTTACCGCCCTTTGCACTAACGTGTCGAATGACTCCGCAATGCTTGCCATCCGCGAGCTTCTTGAGCAACACGAAGGAGCAATTAACATGTATGGCTTTTCGATTCAGCAGCTTATGGTCCTCCTGAAAGTCTGTTTAAACTGCTCGATCTTCAAATGGTCCGAGAAATATTACGCGCAAATTAGAGGGTTGGCAATGGGACAGCGACTGGCACCAACCCTAGCCGTTGCCTTTATGTCTAACGTGGAAGCACCAGTAATCGATCTCAGGCCATTACTCTACTGTAGGTATATAGATGATTGTTTTACCATCTGTTCCACACAAGAGGAGATGGACAAACGCTTTGAGTTATTGAACAAACAGTCAGAGTACATAAAATTTACCCGTGAGAAACCAAAAGAAAACTGGCTTGCATTTCTAAACGTTCAAATCAACCTATCCAAAAACGCCTGCAACACAAAACGGTATCGAAAACCAAGCAGTAACATATCGGTTCATTACCTCTCCTATCGTCCCTCACATACTGAAAGGGCGCTTGTAAGAAATATGTTTCGAACTGGTGCCAGCGTGTGCACAGATAGAGAGCAGAGGGAGAGGATATAGTGGTTCCAACGTATAACGAAAGGAAAATGTCTACAGTAACCACTTACACGATTCGCCTATGTATTTGAGGCTCATATCAATGAGCAATGAGCACGGTGGTTGCATGAGTTCGGGTACAGTCTTTCTAATCTCTTATAAAGCGTGCGGGCACGAATATGTTGGCGAAACGGGTAGACCGCTCTGCGTCCGCATAAAAGAACACCTAGTCGGTAAATCTAAATTAAAACCAAACACTCCACTAGGAGCGCATAGGATGTAGGAACACAACGGAGAAGATTTTGAAGTAGGAGTCACTATCTTCACGCTCGAATCAAAAACATCAGAGTGTAAAACTCTCGAAGCGTTTTGGATCAATGCCAAAAATTCAAACCGCAAGGAGGAGTGTCCTGTCATCACGCGTGACCTGGCGCCATACCTCAGGCTAATCCAAACCTGACACCGGCACAGCCCTCGCCCATGTATTACTCTGTGCGGCTGCTATCCATCAACTAACTTAAATACTTACAACAAATAAACGGTAGGCGTGTAAATGAAGCTGTATCTTATGCGAATACGAATTTATTTGTTAAGTTTTATCTGCTGAGGTTATGAAAGTGTTTGGCTGAGTAGATCACATCTCAATTTGACCTTTCCAAGCTCTGAAGAAAGCGAAACCGCCGAAACGTCAGCTACTGTATCCAAACAAATTCTATAATAACAACCTCGTGCCTGGTTATTGAAGAACAACATCGAATTATTCTCACTCTGCTGAGTAACACGTGTAGATTGCAATGCCTTTTGCTCCAACGAATTAAACTCACTAAGAAATGATGTGTTTACTTAAAGGGTGCAGGTACTTTTAGGCATGTGTAAATTAAAATCACATCGTTTCGTTTCCATTGTATGGACAATGCAAGGCTAACTAAACAGAATTCGTCAAGCCATGCATGTTTATTCTTCCTTCATGTTCAACAAGAAGTTTGAAGATGGCTTGCATTGCGGAGTCATTGGTTTTCGTATTTCAATTTCTCTTCTTCTCTGGTACATTAATCTCTTTTGGCGACTCTGGACTGATCGCAAACTGCTTGTCGGCGAACGAGTCAGATATTTGATAAGTCAGTTTTTCCAGCCAACTGTTCGTCGTCCACATCGATGGACTTGAACGCGTCCAGCAACAAACTGATCTGCGACGTGTGCGGTGATGTGGCCTTTGGCAAGCATTACGGTATCAATGCGTGCAATGGATGCAAAGGCTTTTTCCGACGAAGGTCTGTACTTACGGACTTTTAAGAAAGTCCTGAATTCCAGATTGAACTTCGGATTCTACTAGTTATTTAATTAATGTCACATCCATTAGTGTATTCATTAGTGTAACAACAGTAATGTTCAAAATGAACTGTAGTTGGGATTTCACCGTGAAAAGATCCTAAGCGGGTTTTAAGTTCGAAAATAAACCGAAGTAGGGTTTGTACCGTAAACTTACGTGTAAAGAAGCTATTAGGTTTAAAAATAAACCGAAATTAGGTTTATACCGTAAACTGTCGTCTAAACGAGTTATTAACTTGAAAAATGACTTGGAATTAGGGTTTTACCGTAAGCTGTGGTCTAAACCAGCCATTAACTTTGAAAATCATGAGTTGAAATTAGGGTTTCATCGTAAGCTGATATCTAAACCGGCCATTATGTTTGAAAATAAACTGAATTTAGGTTTATACCGTAAGCTGACATCTAAAAGTGTTATTACACTTTTGGCAACTGAATTCTTGGTTTAAGACTACGAAATTTATGTCACTCTGATTTTCCATAGAGGTTTTTTTTTGAGATCCCACACCTTTTTCTGACCTATGCATTCTTTTGGTTTTCGAAGTGGTCACTCGTTCTTCATTCATTTCTACTAAACTCTGTAATATGGATAGTTAAAGTCATTTCCAGGCAAATTGATATGGTTTTACTTTTTATACCAGATTATGTTAAATTTCGTACGATTTCCATGGCACTGGGGTACGGTATATTTCTGATTAACCGACTTCTTTGTGTTAAGCGAGGGAATGTTTGTTTGTAGTGTATGGAGTCGTCGGCAATACTCATGCCGTTTCGGTGGTGACTGTCCGGTGGTGAAAGAACATCGTAATGTGTGTCGTTCTTGCCGACTGAAAAAATGCTTCGAAGTTGGAATGAATCCGGATTGTGAGTTTATCGATTGATTTATAACGTTACTAGTCAGTAGAAGTGGAGCGAACTATTTTTTGATTGTGTCAAATTAGTATTAATTAATTGGAATCACTATGATGAGGTGACGGGGTGAATATGACGTTTCGGGTGATGGCGTGGTTTACTCTTTCGTGCAGTGATGGAGCCAATCCCCTTCAATACTCAAATAATTCAAATTTACTATTCATATTACAAGCCGGATAGAAGTTCTCCATTGAAAAGAAAGAACGTTCCGAAGCAACCTCTGTTCGTGAGATTCCCGTGTTCTGTTCCCAAAATGTGGACTGTATTCATTTTTTACAATCACTTTCCGGCTGATTGCTCACATTTGTTAGTTCAAGATAAGTTCGCTTCATTATGACGACTGTTTTCTAAGGATTTGAATTCCTGAAATTAATTGGAATTCAGTGAAATTGCTGAAGTTGGTGGCTGCTGATATCGCCGATAGAGTGAAAATTTAGCTCAGAGAAAGAAGAAGAAAGGGTCTTGGTTGGTGTGGTGGGTAGGTTGTGAGCTCCCGGTAAGAATAATCGTGGGTTGAAGCCCAGCTGGGGTCCCGAGTTTTGCTCATTTCTCAGTGTGCTTTTAGTTGTATTTCACGCAGTATCCTGTCATGGAAAAAGATTAAGCAGTAAATAGAAGTTAAGACGTTGTGATTTCAGTGAAGTAAGTCCACTTGGGTTGGATTTTTAGACACCTTGGCAATAATGTGAGCCATATACGGCTGTGCGACCGTTTTTACGTTATTGTGTCATCCTTATTGCCAGAATCACCTGTAATTCCTCCAGCAATTTGGTAACTCCATCCGAGACCAAGAAGATTTCTACTCTTACTTGTGGCACATATTTTAAAACTCCTCAAGGAATTGTGCTTATTTGAGAGACACAAAGAGCATGACATCTATATACTCCTCGTTGAATACTGAATGGTGGAATTTTTTAGAAAATATTTTTTGTTATAACCATTAGGTTACAAATAAACTTGAACAGTGGGCTTTATTTTGTTCATTAGGTTTAACGTTTTGTTTTCTGCCTTCTGTAATTTTCATGGCAGGTTACCAAGCGAAATACAACCACAACGTTGCTGAGATATTTGCAAAACTCTGGACCACAGGTGTCTATGGTGAGGAACGAACACGCTATTGTCCTTTCCGGGGAGTAACGCGTTCACCACCACACCATGCGGGTCCTTCGTTTTGCTTGTCTCTCAGCTATTTTGTTCATTAGGTTCTGATAAACTTGTAAGCAGCTTTGAAAAAAGGATCACGGATTATCTCTCTTGAGATCAGTCATCCTTCTGATCCTCTTCGTTTTTGGCTAATTTATATAGGCTTCGATTGTCGTCCGTAAATATTGATTTTAAGCTGTACAAAACGAGCGAGATCGAAATGTGAAGTCGGGCACGACATTACCGGTGACTCCGTTAACTAACGGTGTGTTTAAACGTAAACGAATCAGACCACAGTTAAGTGAACAAGCCAGTCAAGTAAGCACATGTTTGTCTAGTATTTGTTTCTAAGTATTTTATTACTCCTTTGCTTCACAACATTTTTTTTTACAAAACCAGTCTAATTAGTAGCGATTAGATAAGAGGAATGGAGTATGGGGATGAATCCTCGCGCTGTACATCGCAGCCAGACACCCAGGAATACTTCCCAGCCACGATGATGCGGTAAACAGTTGGGAGGAGCGATTAGATAGTATGATTTGTAAAACTAATCAATGACTAGTTAAACATTAAGCAAAGAATTTAACTAAGTAATCAGCTGTTTTTTTAACGATGCGCTGTATCGTTCTTTCTAATTTCTATACCACCGGTCTACATCTACTTCGCTGATCCCGGCATTTCTCACATTCGATTCGATTCCTCGAATGCATCATCCATGAAGATTTTTCAACTTCTGTATATCGCTTAGACTGCTAATTGGGGATTTTCACTGCGTCTGGAATGCCGTAGAATGCGGGTCGAATTGATCTCCTTAGAGCCCTGAAATAACCGGACTGGAGCGTGCGTTTCCAGTTGGATTGCAGACAATGATTTTTTCTGGCCGAGTCTGGTACCAATTCCCCTACCTCAGGGGGATGAGTGGCTTCGTGTGCCTGGAGCAGGATCAAACCAGGACCATGCTTTAGGTGACCAGCATCACTACTATTTTGCTATCCTCCCTGTTGTATCATCTGTTCAGGATTTTAACCAAATACTTTGAAAAAGGTGAGTTTTAACGCAAGAAGCTAATATTCGTATTGTAGCACCGATCTCCAAAGAAATCTGAATATTAACTAAGCTTAGACTGTTTTTTTAATGCGTCAATTGTTTTTCCAATGTAAGAAGCCGTTTTTTCGTTGTTGCTATTAGTTTTTGTCGTTTTAGAAAGCTCTCCTTTAGTGCAGGGAAGTATTTCAGACTGAGATTCAGCCGATGAGTCCATCACAATCGACCGAACCTCAAGTGAAAGTGGAAAGGGTGCCGACACCTGAATGCCATGAACTGCCCACACCCAGTTCCTATGATACTTTCAACATTCCTGAAACGTTAATGACGCTTGAAAATCAGGTGCAGTTCGTTCGATTTTTTGAAAAATTAATCGCATGTATTTTTTCGCCTCGAGATAAACGCGTTCGCCTCAAACCACTTTATTAATCACATCTGATGATCTTATCAATCCATTGCCAATACCCATTAATTTTTGGTTAGTTCCGATATGAAAATCGATATTAATACGGTAATGATCGGTACTCGGTAAAATATCACGTATTCTGGGCTTTCTGTTTATAAGGGAACTAATTTCAAACCCAAAAATTATTTAATTACTTGTTCGACTCGGATTCTAAATATAAGCAATAGCTTCATCACTTTTTATCTGTTAACTGGTCTTCTAAGCAGCATGTATTGAGTTCTTTCCGATTTCCATAGACTAATGTTGAATGAAAATATTGCTGCTACTTTCTTAGGCTTTTTAAAAAACATTCCCTTCGTCTTTGGATGATCCTAGTTTTAGGTTTTATAGTTTAGATGATTTTGGAGATTCGATTAATTTTAGGTGTTTTCTCATACTCCTATTGAAGCTGATTATTCAATAAATGCCACAAAAACTCAGGTTGGGGAATATTTATCATCCTCTGTGATTTACTATTGTTGTTAGAGATTTTTCTGGGAAGCTTATTTTTCTGATTCCAGATAAACTTGCCATTTGAGGTGGTGTTCCGACGACCGATGTTGGTGAGCCCTCGCTATCCAATGAGGTTCACCGGTGAGCGAATATTGACGCCGGAAGACTTGATTGATGGTGAGCACGTTCTCGCTAAGTACTAGAATATTCGGTGAATTCGACACCGAATATTGATTTTTATAGTTTCTGGGATCCTGGATTGTCGGTGACCTGTTTCACAAGTGTTGTTTCGCAACAGGAGGCTAGCTTTCCTATTTTCTTAGATGAACAATTTTTTCTGATAATGCTGGAGTTTAGGATTTCGTTTCATTGCCAATCAAATCCCTAACTCTCAAATAACCGCTCCGATAAGGTTTACTCCTATTGTCACCTGAGTGGGAGCAGTGGGCAGTTACACTAAGCATTCGACTGAATCTCGCAATTTTTTCGAACACTCGAATTCTGTCTTGTTTAAAATTGCAGTTCTGTTCGCTTGAAGAAAGTTTATACGAGGAAATTTCTTTCTGAAGATTTTTGCCACGGTATTTTTTTGGTAGAGAGTCGACAAATCAATAAACGATGGAGGTCATAACCATTGTTCAGTTTCACGCGATACATTAGTATTTGCGCTCTTCCGTCATCAATAAATGTGTTATATGGGCTGCTCGATGGCTTGCGGGTGTTGGTGGCAACAATTCAGTGGGCGATTCATCTGCACTGTCTTGACCTGTATGAAAGGAAATGAACAGCAGAAGTAGAACCCACGATGGTTTGCGCTGGAATGGTGCCTACTTCCATTACGCTACGCGCCCAAGGGGCGTATCTACACCAGAAACCATCTTGCAGTTCGATCTTCTGTTTATTTTGATCATATTTTGCTAAAATTCTCTGTTTACTGTCCTGTAATGCGCTGTTGTACCACGCTTGCTAAGTATTTTTTTATTTTAAATTCAGGATGGCGTCGTCATTTCACCTACTATTCGGATTGGTGTCGTGGATTAGAAGAGTTCCAAATGTTGAACGAGAAAGACCAGGATATTTTGGCTAGGAGGCGACTGAACTTACATGGGTGGTTGGTGGCCATTTCTTTTTTTATGATTGCTTTATTATTCCCTTTTTTCATTCCTTTACCTGTTTCTTTTTCTTTACCTTGGTAGCAGTTTCTTTGTCTTTTTCTGATAATGGAGTACCAAATAGGTTTAAGCCGTTCACTTATCTATGACATTCTTGTCTTCTTTCTAGATTTAACTTCTTGTGTTGTTCTTATGAGTTATTTCTATTATTTTATTGCCTACAGGCTTTTCGTTGCCAATATCCTTCTGTTTAGATTCATTTTGTCTTATTAAACTTTTGAATTAATCAGCAAATGGATTCATATTTTGAAGAAATATGAATCGTATTTACTTACTGAATGCTTTTTTTCGCTTCCAGTTAGCTTTAATCGCTTCCAGGTTGAGTCACTCGTACTACTCAATGAAATGTGGCGCTCCCGGTCTCTGTTTTGCTAATGGCGCATTCCATCCAGTTGATGGCGGACATCCGAGGTCAGTTTCCTTAGGCTTTTTTTTCCCCGGGTTCGAAGTGCTAAAACTGGAACTTCTGCTAAACGTGCAAATATAAGAAGTACACAGCGTCAGGAGAACGTAAAAATGTGAATTGTGAAATGTAAATAAAGTAATCGTTCTTGGCTATGGCTTCTACATCATCGATGTAAGGGAGCCTATTGATGTGTTTATTCATGCCGTGGGGAAATCGTATGCACTAGTAGGGACGATTTGTGAGTCATACTACACAGTGGATCATATTTGCTAATGAATGTAAATATTTGTGACCTATCATATGTGGACTTCGCTATCGGTTTGTTAGCAACCGAACTAGTAAGGTTACCTTGTTTTCTGAGCAATCTATACCTTTCCTTGCTTTACAAATTCTGTTCAAAAGGTTTACTCGTCATTTCCTACATTCGCCCAGATTTCAATGTTAACTGCCATACTGTAGAACCAGGTGCTACTGTTACCAACGAGATTATTCTTTGTGTTTGTGATAGCTTAATTATTGATTGGTTCGTTCTAATGTAAAATGTGTTGATTTTTTTTCTGATCAGGTCAAGAAACACCTGTCAACGAGTCTCTCAGTAATTTATGTAATTTCTTTTGCAGCATTGTCGACTTCTACAAGCAGTGCATGCCGCGTTTGATGAGTTACGTTATTGGTCCGATGCGATCGATGGCTATGGATGATGTGGAGTTCGTTCTTCTGAAGGCTATCATGTTCTTCGGAGAAGGTCAGTTCTAGTTTTCTTATTTGAATATTATTGGTTTTACTAGGAAGAAGTGAATAACTGTGAACGATGAAGAATTAATGCGTGAAAGTTACTTATTTCGTGGCTGGAACAGAGAACGCTTAACATCGTATCAATTGAGTATCGTTCTTATTTTCACTACTAACTTTGTACCAGATTTGGAACAGTAGACTTGTTCTGCTTGGTAAACCAAGTGTGCGATCCATCCACAGTAATCGATGTAATTCATATTTTAGCAATTATATAGGAAGCTTCGCTTGCGGATAAATATGAGTCCACGGGGATTCACACAGTTCTTTGAGAGCTAAAGTATCGTCGAATTGATCAGTGCTTACCGGTTGTATGAAGAGCGCCAACTTTTCTTCATCTTCAACTGATAAGTAGGAAATCGACGGAAACGAACGTTATTCCATCATCGCCAGTGGGCCATGTAAACCATATTGAGACGTTACTTAGGATTACTTTCGGACTCAAACCGGCGTACTGAAACTCCCACATATAACTTCTACTAGCTCCAGCAGTTAAGAAGTTGATCCAGATTAATATCACATTATCTCCTAGTAGTTTCCTCAATGAAGGGTAGTGGAAGAATGAAACGGCAAAGATGTGTGTGTGTCATTGGAGGAATATTCAATTTCGAGTTTTAGTTGAGTACTTGCTTATCGTATTCTCGAGAAGCACTTCACGTGAATTTTATGATGTGAAAAAGTTCGCATATACCTGGAAATGCTTCCATTTATGAGAGCATAAAGCTCATAATGAACGCCCGTTAGAAGATAAGGAGGTTGGGTAGTGCTGGCATCCCTGCCCATAGTCCAAGGCACCAGCCATCACTTCCCGAAGTCCCGACAGTGACTGAGTACTCAATTGAGTATATGCCTTTCCAAATAACGAATCGCAAAGTTGTTAAATCCATCTAGTTGTTCAGTAAGATTTGTTATTGCTATCAATTATTACAGTGAAGATTATTTGTGCTTTTTTTCGTTTGAAATAGACATCATTTGCAGATTTCGGTCTCAGTTCGGAAGGAAGATCAGTGGTGACAAAGGCTAAAGAGCGTTTTCTAAACGCGCTTTACGTCTATGTGAGAAATCAAAAGGTGGACAACGCACCACATGCCACATGCCGAGTAGCCAAGTACATGATCATGCTCTCTACGCTCACTGTAAGTTAACTGACTGATTTGATTTGAATAGCCCATTTTCAGTGGTGTTTGGAGCTCAGCACAATTTCCACTACTTTCTCTCTCGCGCGAACATCGTCTATGGTGATGGTCTGCCTCGACTCTGAATGCAGATGGACGTTGGCCACTAACACGTCCTTCCATTGTTTAGGTGGTAATCCAGCAGGGCGTTTGCATTATGTTAGAGTCCTCATCACTATGCTTCGTCCCATCCCACCTCTTCTTATTATGTGATCGGCCCATCTGTGCTTCTCTATTGATAAATATTCTCCTGGATCCCGAAGATGGTATAGGTTCTGAAGTTCTGAGCAGAGCATTCCGGCCCGACGTGTAAATGCCGCTTAAACCTAAGTAGATATCCTTCAACCTCCCTGTTAGTAGTGGTGCGCGAAGTTTTTGACATGGTCGAAGTATCATTCCACGTTTCTGCTGCATAACAAAACGCTAGTAGGTCTAGTTGAAAATGTGAGCTCAAAATTTTGTGTTGAAATTTTGGGTGTTCATTGAACGTCCAAGGTTTACGTGCGAGGTGGTCTCTTTAATCAGAGAACCATCTGTTTCTATTGCATCCGCATTATGGGTTCTTCGTTAACTAGGTCTTCGTTCTATCTACGCCCAGTCAAGTACTTTTTCCCCACTTCGCTGTGCTGATTTCGCATCTTCTCTGTTTCATTGGTTCTTCTTGAAAAACTGACAGTGCCGTCGGCGAAACGGAGATTTGACAGGAAATTTTCATCAATACGTATGCCCTTTTCCTACTAATCGAATAACTTCATTATGCACTCCAGTGCGGCAGTCAACAGCTTTGGCAATATGATGTTATCTTATTAAACCCCGTTTTCTATGGGTTTGATAAGAGGTTGATGGAAAACATGTATTTTCGTGGCGTAGTTCCGATAACAGTCAGTTAATGTTCGTGTACGAGACGGGTTCGCTCCTTGCTCGACGAGCGCTCAAAGGTTTGTATTCACTTCGACGCTGTCAAACACTTTTCGTTGACACTTTAGGTTAGGATAAGAGCAGATAGTATTCTCAACAAGCTTCATTGATCCTGGGAACTGTTTGAATTGTGTTCCATGCGGTAGATTCTTTGTCGAAATCCTGCTTGTTCAAATCGTTGTTCCAAGATCTTTGGTATGCATAAGAGAATAATCTTTCCGAACAGCTTGCGGAATGCACTCAGCAAGAAAAGTGGGCGATAGTTACGGCCTCTACGGTCACCCTTTTTAGCAAGATGACCGAACGTGACATCCTCCAATGGTCTAAGATTTTGTCCTGCTGAAGATAAGATGTCACATGGGTTGTGCCAAGTATATGTAATTAATGTCTTCTAGGACAATGAAAATCGTATGTAATATTATCGGTTCCTGGAGTTGTTCATCTGTCCAAGCTTTCCGTTGCAACTCAAACTTCACGAGAGTAGATTCCCGGGTAGTTCTTCTTCAGCAGTGATTTCCGAGACGGAAGTTGTGGAACGAAAAAGATTGGTGCGGAACCTTTCTTATTAATTCCATATTATGACAGGATGTGTAAAAGTCCGATCTTTATTCGTCTTCTTTCCATTCTTTACCGTAGGTTAGCGTAGTAGTCGTTGGGATTCATGTAATATCGTATATCGTCATATTAACGTATTTTTAGTAGTTTGTTTTTATTATTATAGGATACGATTTGAAAGCGCTTATTGATTTATACATTCGAAAATTACTTTGAATTTGATTTAGGAAATCTGATTTTAATTTATCCCTGTAGAACTATACGGGGTGTCATGAACGCTATGAAAAAAGCTGAATAGCACGCATGTGATCCTACAAAGTTGAGATGCTTTGCTACAGAATGTTTTATTTTCTCTCTTCTTTTGAACGCTTATTTCTCTTTTTATCCCTTTCTCTGCAGAAATTAGATGCTAGCTATAATGCACGTCAAGCGTCTTGATTCGCTGTTAAATGCTCAAGGTTCAGTTATTTCCTCGTTCCAGTGAACGCATCACTTCGAATACTTCGTAGCCGATCTTATTTTCACTTTCTTCCATACGTCGCACCTTCATCTGCGCATCGTAGCCATTTCCTTTTTTGAAATATCGTTGAAGATAAACATTATATTAGACATTGCATAGGTGAGGTCTTATAATAGCAGAACAAACGCTGTTTTTCAGGCTCTTTGCCACCTGATGAACGAAGAAGTACAGATGACGAGCCTTTTCAACATAATCGAGTTTGATGAGCTTATACAAGCCTGCCACAAAACCAGTCCAGCAATTTGTGCGTCTTCACCCCGATGAGAGGCGTACGATGTGCGCTCGGCTAGCAAACGACGACGACGCGTCGTGCAAACCATGCATATCGATTGTTTCCGGGACTCATCCAATAGGTGTATATTGTCATAGCACGTCACTTCGATCGTAGAGTGCATGTTGGAAGAATGCTGAGGTCAGAAATAGTCCTTTTTGGCATACAGGAACTGACGTGTTGTTAAGAAGGACGAAGAAAATCTATCCGCTTTTTGAAGCAGATTGAATGAATTTGTTCTTTGCTGTCGACAGAAAGCCACAAGAGGTCAGTGTGAGGTGAATTAATATAACCTGTTTGGAATGTTTGGTCGGATGTAACTTCGCGTACTCCTTGTGACTACTGTTGTTTTTTGCTTTTTTTTAGTAATGATTTTCGAATAAATCTGAAAAATAATATTTTCAATATTGACTGACCCTGAAGCATTTCTTTCCTGTATGTATCTATTTTGCCTTCGAATGAGCATTTGATTCTCAGTGAGCGTCTTGACGAGCGTCGTCAAGTTACATTCGCCTGCCATGTAGGTTGTCGTGCGGGATCCATATCCATCCTCATCCGTGGTTCGTTATTTCATTATGGAGTTGTATTTTGTGATAACCCTTTCTTTCGTTGTCATTCTTCCTTTCCTCTGTACGAAAGGTCTTAGTTCATGGTTTCGATATTCTAGTGAAAAGTGTTCCCTGTGATAATTGTGTGTGATTCGCTGATCAACTGATTCAAATGTTATGTAATGATATGTATAGGAAGAGAATATGAAGATTCCTGAATGAAATACGACTGCATAAGTTAACAAAATTTACTCAAAGAAGTCTTGATACATAATTGTGTTGGTGCTTTTACCAGGCCTGTCAGTAGTTTGTCGCCTCATTTTGGCAATGGGTTTTACTAATAGTGAACTTAGATGTACAGCGAAGGTTTCATTACTCGTTGCAGACCTCCCCAAACCGAAGAATTGAGTGCTTAACATTTTAATCCGTAAGCCCCACCAAAAGTAAACCTAAGGCTAAAAACAGGATAGTGCTGTCGTCATTGATCAATCGCTAAGGGATGCGCCATGAATACTTCATGAAGTATCGTTGGAGGTGACTGAATGGATATCTGGCCTTTACAATGACTCGCGGTGACCTATCGATGTATCGAGCCAGTGCTGCTATCCTCCTAGACAGGTCTGGTACCAATTTGCCGACCCCGGAGGGATGGAAGGCTTGGTGGGCCATGGGAGCGGGGATCGATTCCACGTGTGTTGCAGGGCGCCCTCGACTACTGCGCCACACGCGTCCTTCAACAGAAACCTAAGCGTAGGCGAACTATTCTTGGCTGTGTTATCGCGAAAAAGACTACGATAAAATTGGTTGTAAACAAATACAACAGGAAAGAGATGAACTCTTAGTGGTACTAGGTCGGGTTGATAATCACCAGGATTACAGTACTTCTTCAATCTACACTCTGTGAGGATTAAAAGAGAAGCTACTCTTGATAAATATCTTCTTCGATTATTGAATTCGACTTGATGGTCCACAGCTGGTCGTCGTCGTTACGCGGTTGCTCGTAGTGTCGCATAGAGTTGAATCCAGTGGAGAGGGCGCAAGTTGAAAGGTGAACTTCACTCAGCGGTACCCTATCACACAGGACGGATGCTGAACGATTCCCGCCTCCAGTATTAACTACTTTGTCAGGAATGAGAAGTTGGAAGATCCTCCATTAGAAGCGAAGCTATGTGAGAACCCTATTATCTACGTTGATAACAGTTGCAAAATGAGAAAACGATTTCAAAAAGTTCTCTAGTAACACGTTGTGTTAAGGTGAGTAACCAAGCATTTTGTTGACACCAACCGTCAATGGTTTTTCTTTTCTTCTTCTTCTTCTTGTCTTAGCAACGTTTGAAATCCAACAAATCCAGCAGTTTTAAGGAATAGAAAAACTATCACCAATGAAGGTTTTATTAGATTTGAGCAAAAGATTTATGTAAATGGATGAAAAGACGGATGATGGAAATCACTATTACCTTGGTGAAAGTTAGACACCTTCGGTTTTTATAAATTACAAGAATAAATCGTGCTGCAGTAGTTCCTATTAAAAACTAACTAACTTTCGATTCTACTTATTCAAAAATTCGGAAAACCTATATTCGAGGAAGTTTTGCTCACTAACTGGTTGGTGGAAGTTGAAGAGTCTGTTCGACATCTTTGCTTTTATTCCACATACCAGCAGCGACTCCATACAGTAGACCATCGATGAGATGAATCACACTCGGTTCCAAATGATGCATACTGATGAGATTCTCGTGGAAGATATTAGATCTCTCCAAAATAAAAACAGCTTAAAAAACATACAGAACATGGATCTTCCATTAGAAATAACTGGAACAAAATGCGACGATGGAAAACTATTGTTGAAAGAAGAAAAATATCTTCTAGACGCGTTTACTTTGAAATTGATAAAAGAAATCAATATTCCGAAAAACGATCCTTCTTTAACCTAGACAAAACTAATCGATAGTATTTTATTCGGTGTTTTTTCTAACACTTCCAACACGACGTTGATAAAAGAAAACTTTGTTCGGCTAAAGTTTCGACGTCTGTGTTCTTCAGAGACCATGTGATTCGAGTCTATTCTCTACAGCTAATCTCTCAATCGTTCTTCCTACAGTGTTCAGCAATGGGTTCATTCTGGTTAGAAATTATAGATTTCTTCAAAGAAGCCAAAGAACATGTGCTTGAAATGGTCATCTTCATTAAAGAATTGTAATGTGAAGGAGCCAGTTCAACAGACAATCACCAAGTGTTGTTCGCTAGTTATGATGGAAGCCTCTTGAGGAATGGCTTACTACCGGGGCCAACCTGAACACGAATAACCCTAGTATCCAACTTTCTATGACTTTATTTTATTTTATTCTACATGACCCATTACCATGTCTACTGTAGAAATCCCAGCACTTTTTGCATTCGATTAGTTTTCCTCGCACTCATCGCCCACAGTGGTCTTCGAACATTTTACGTGTTATTTAACGTGCTGCTTGAGGAATTTGTCTTCTTTATGAACGTCAGAGAATGGTGATCGAGACAGTTCTCCTTACAGTCTTGGAGATTGCAGGGCTCAGGCATTACCACGTAGACTGGAGTAGAGCGTTGGGGAGTTAGTCGAACTTGCATCTTAGCTTCCTGATCTACGACATCACTAACTATTAACCAATGTAAGTTAGTCTTCCTTGTTATCTTTCTCATCAGGATATTTCCGATATTTCTCAGTTTCTACGGGTACTACTTTCTACCGCATGGCTTCTTATAAATAAAAAGATAAGACGTTCGGCGTTGATCATTCCTTGAAGGACACCCCATAGATTTATCTCCATTCGTAACATCGTAGAGGCGAAAGAAGGATATCTAGCCTATGCAATGACCTACTCTGGCCTAGCGAACTATCAAATCGGCGCTGCTATCCTCATGTCTCGCACCTATTTTTCAACCACAGAGGGGTGAAGGGCTTGATGAGCTCGGACGACGGTTCAAGCCGGCGACCGATTCAGTGTACGCCCATTTAACCACTACTCTACAAGAGCCCTTAGCTTATCAGAGCTTCTTATGTCTCCATGGTTTCTTGTGAATTACTTTATTATGGAGATGTGACAACTATATTTTACTGTTTAATTTTTTATCTACTGCCTATTATTACTTTTAACGGCACGGTATCATGTGAAATACATCCACTACGAAGCTGAGATGTTTGCAAAACTTGAAATGCATGCCAGATCAAGCCACAATTACCCATTCCGGGTGCTCACGTGTTGCTCACGTCATCACTGAGGCTCTTGGTTTGCCTTTCTCTCAGACAGTAGGTTGTCAGCCTTTCCTTCTAACGCTGCCATCAGCAATCACCTGTCAACTGGATTCATCTGGCGAGAACGAATCGGCATTAAACCCAATTAAGCTGTCTACCTAACGCTGCCAGCAGCAGCTTAACTGGGTTTCATGCTGATTTGTGCCCTGCAGATCAATCCCGCTGACAGGTGACTGCTTATGGCACCGTAAGGTAGAATATTGGCCGAGAGAAAGGCAAAATAAGGGCCTCGAAGGTTCCGTTTTGCTCCAACTTTTGCATATGTCTCAGCATCACAGTGGATGTAATACTTTATTAATATATAAAAAGTAAGAAGTAAAGGGCACATATAAGTATACTTGGAAACATAGATACTTGAGATGGCCCGTCTTCACTGGTTCGTGTGCGCCTCAGCGTAATTTCCACGTTCTGGAGATTTGCTGGCTTAGCTATTGTGGTTTCCTGGAGACCGAAGGTCAGCATAGACGAAACATTCCTTAAGTCGTCATCACCCCAGGCACTCACCGCCTTTGTGGATCAGAGAGAGAAATCCGCGACCATGCAACCAGTTTAGTACCAGGACGGTGATGATTCTTAGTATTGCTATTGATTCATTCTTAGCTGGGTTTGCAGGTGGAAACGTCGGACTTCTTCTGAGCTTGGGAGGTGATCAACGCTCGCTGTACATCGGAGTCCGACATCCTGGAACACTTCCCAGCCACGATGAGGCGTTAAAAACATTTGGGAGATTTAAACATAGACATGGTCCAATTTACGTCCATTTTTCATTTGCGGGGTATTCCAACGAATTCGTAGTACCATTGTTATTGTGCATATAGCAGAGTGGTTTAAAGTACCCTGCACTGCACAAGGGGTCGTTTATTTCATCTCTTGGACTAAGCAAACCTTGAAATCTACCAGAGTTAAAAAAATCTTGCCAAGCTAGTCTGGGATGATAAAAAAAATTACTGAATTAATGCATTGGAAGGTCTGGTAAGCCGTTTTATAGAGAAGAATGCATCCAATCACATTAAGGATACTACGAGTACAGTTGATTGCATGATGCATCACTGAGGGATTGATCAGCGCCAAGTGTTTCTTTTCTTGTACTTCCATTTCCGTTGGCTAGAAGCCACCAGCGTCTATCAATGTTCTATACATCACGGTTGGGTTGCAACAGATTTCAGATGGAAATTTGAAGTGTTACATGAAAATAAACGTAATGATGGGCTCTTACCAAGTGCTCAATAGGATCCATTAGGAATGGCCTAATTAGATCGCCATTGTAGTGATCCTCTGGATTCCAAGGTAGGAATCGTTGCCGACGCAACAAATCACGAGTGTCACTTGCATAGATTCCGACACTTGACAAACATCTGCAATCACCTCTGGCCAACAAAAAACTTCTACGACGGTCAATTCGTTTTCATTTCTTTTATTGCATCACAACGTCTCTCCCTTGAAGCCTTCGATTTTCTCTTGAAACCAATATTTTATGTTTTGGACTATCCTAGCTCGTTTCTATGTTCCATGTAATAGTCTATCTGTCTTATTTATTTTGTATCCATATTTATATTTCCATACTTTGTATTATACCATTTATAACACGTGTTACAACATCTAAGTCTATGAAAGTCTAAGGGGCTAATTTTCTTAACAACCTTGCTGTTTAAAGGAGAACAAAAACGATTTCGAAATTACCGTTACCACTCAAGGGTCCTTTCAAAACAATTTCAATATAATCTTTCTATACGAATGAGCTGGTATTAAAATTCCAACATCTAAATAGCAAAAACTGTTGAATCAGGAATTGTCTTTATTTTTTTCAAATAGCCGATTTTCGAAAGTAAGAATCCTAAGGACTTTCCCTTAAAAAGCTTTCATTTTCTCTCAGAAGCGTTGATACTGGCCTTTTCTAAATATGTGTTTTATGATGCCGAAACAATTTTCGACGTATTTGGTTTCCTTGCAGCTTTTCCTTAGAGGTAGAACTCTACGCAATTAGACTGTTCGAAAAGAAAAATCATCTTGTTGCTTTGTTGAGCTAATCCTCAGCAGTTAACCTCTACACCGTTGCTGGATGTATTCTTATGCGTTAAACTACGGTAGACAGCAGGAAGATCATCCTTATTTCAATGTCATCCAAACTGAGAAGAAGCCCAAAGCTTCTATCTAATTGAGAATAATTCTATGTCATGACAGCATCAACAAAGCTAATCATAGGTTTCTTTCCTCAAAAACATTAAGGAAACTAATCATACCAAAAATATTTTGCTACTCGTAGGCTCTAACACAGTTCAGCCAACTGAGTAGTTCTGATAAGTAATGCTAATGATCGGAATTTACCAGAATGCGATCGTGGGACTTGATGACTGATGAGCGAAAGAACGCGCAAGATATACCTGGCCACTGCTAGATCTTCCCATTCATGATATGGACAGAGATTTCTAGAATGGAACAGTTTTTCTGCGAAGATCTTCAGTGCCGCTTTACTAATCACATAACCACTTCCACCTGCATTGTAACCATGATTCGCCTGGAAAATAAAGGCAAGTGGAACACAACGAGTACGAAGTTCTGACTTACTTTAATACTATCGTCTAGATACCTTCAAATAAATTGATATTCATATTTTCTTGGATTGCTGAAACTCTTAACTTGTCGTATTCGTACTTGTAGGGTTCAGCTTAACATATACTGCCGATTTCCGTCCTGATTTTATTCGGTTCATTGCTATTCGCATGTCACGCATGAATGTCCTCCGACCTGCACGTGAATTTGACGACGATTTAATGATTCCTTCTTCGTTATGGATGTCTTTGAATGTTGTTCGAGAGCGATTCCCTCTAGAATACCGCGATAGTCTGGCTAGTGATTCCTAAGTCTTCATCATAAGCTTCCTTTGTGGACCGTGTAGAGCTTTTCGTAAATAAATCTGGTATCATTTTTCAAACGCCAGAGAAATGGGAGCCATGGCAGTCTCAGTGCGGAGTTCATCCATTTATCATGGGTTTATTACACGACATTTCTAACCACTGCACTTCACGCATCCGAAACCTACAGCACTTTTGTTTTAAATATTGCATTTTTTTGAAAACATTCACCAGTAACCTAGAACTTTTAAAGCTATTGAAGTTATCGACATTCATACATTAGATGGTTTACGAATGGAAAGGGTGCATGTGGCGCAGTGATCGAAGGCGCCCTGCAACACACACGTTGAACCGATCCTCGCACCAGTGGCCCACCAAGCCTTCCAACCCTCTGGAGTAGGCAAATTGGTAACAGACCTGTCTGGGAGGATAGCAGCACTGGCTCGATACAGTAGTAGGCCACCACGAGTCATTGTAAAAGCCAGATATGAATCCATTCACCTCCAAACGATGCTTAGTGAAGTCGAATGCATGGTGGATCCCTCAGGGACTGATCAAAGCGAGAGCTTTGTCCTCTATCCTTTTACGAATGGAAACAACCTACACTTAGTTTTTAAATTTTCGTCCCAAATTTCGTTAATATGATTCTATTTTCGTTTTGGTTTGATATGGAAATCGAGGACGAATAATGGCTGGATAGATTAGTCATGAAGAGAACAAACTTCTCTACAGTAAAAAGATGAAATCGATGGAGATGATGAATAAAATACGAACCAGAACGCTGAAGATAAAAGGGTGAAAAGAAATTATTTTATCAAAAATAAATCAGCAAGAATTTTCATTCCTAACCAATATTGGCTAAAAATTTCTCGTTTCAACTGCTCGTAATAACGTCGCCATATCTCGGCGCCATCGGTTCTTTGCATTCTTCATTTATTATGAATCTGTGGGATTAAGAGGGGCTGTAATACTATTGAATTACTGAATATTGGGAAAAAATAGTATATCGTTGAGATACATACAATGCGCAATCATTGTATGGTTCCGAATTCACGATTCTCCTTGCTTTGACGTAGGCGTCAGGAACCTGTCGCTATGTAGGTAGAATGAATGATCGGTCAGCGTTATAGAACGCGTAAACGAAAGCACAGTGCTAGCAGCATACTATATACCATGTAACACAAGTGAGGTAAGGGATCTGAAACTCCGACCTATGCCAACGGTCAGAAATCAGAGGTGCTGTGCTATACCACAAACTGTCGAAGATAAGGTGGGCCGCACACGTTATGCGTATGAACGATAATAGATGGACAAAAGCCGTCAGTGACTTGACTCCTCGGGATTTCAAGCGTCCTATAAGAAGACTACAGACCTGATGGACAGCACTCTTCATGAAAACCCAAGAAGAGAGATAACATGCTCAACAAGTCCGTAGAATGAACAGAACCCGCGGGGTAACTCTTGCACGCTACAGAGAGAAATGGAAGATTTACTGGCTTCCACTCTATTCATTCGACCATCACCATGACGACAGCTGATACCAGTGATACAGATGAATTACACAGTGTTCAAAAAAAACTGATATGGAGAACTTTAGCTGTTCTTTTTTCTTTTCACGCTTCCTAACTATTCTTAAAGAAAGATAAGAGAAAACTAATTCCTGTTCTGCTAACTTTTACATTTAAAGATACTACAACAGATAATGGGCTATGAATGTTCATATTTAGAATATTTTTAGAATGTTCGTTCTTATCCTGTGAATTCCAGATGAAGTCACCCACCATTCTTCTCTTCAGTCTAAAACCAAGATAGTGTGGCTCATTCGGATTCAGTGTAGATAAGTATGATCTCAAATTCTCCATTATAACATACGTATCATCATCGGCTTTATAATACCTGAAAGTATTCTAGCTAAAATATGATGGATAAAAGTGTTCTGTGTTGATCAACCTCTTAAAGATGTGATAGGCATTCAGTTCCATTCGTAGCATCGTAGAGGTAATTGTATGCATATCTGGCCTAATGTGCTCCCAGGAAGAGTTAACGTGGGTTCCGATCTGGTCTAGGTTCCAGATGTTGCAAATATCTCAGCTTCATCGTGGTTGTTTTTCACATAATACCCTGCCATGAAAAAATAATGGGGGCAGTAAATAAGAAGTACATTGTGAAGCCACTGCTTGTTTTTGACTAAACCTCTGAGCATTGCGCTGTACGCAATTAAATATTATTGGGCTATAAATACCGCTGATATTCCTTGGGAAAACAAAATTTTTCTCATGTATCCTTAAAATGATAAGCAACAAGTTTGTAAATCATAGCAGCAACTGGCTTCAAAATGGATAAAATCTTTTGGAAAAGCCACATCCTATATAATTATCTACTGTATTTAAAAGGTGCTGTATTGTATTTACATAAACCATTACTTTATTTGTCCATAACCAAAACTCTTAGTTAAAAACTTACCAATCAAACTCAGATGAGACGTTCTTATACAGATAGTATAGTGCTAGTCGAGTCTTCCAAAACAACTTAAAATAGCTCATGGGAAGTTCCGAGAAAATCGTATGATACGGTGTGGATTCATCCAGAAAACGACCATTGTTCGTAAAAAAGTGTGATGCATCACATCGATAGAACCATGTGGAATTGATAGCTCGAACCTATTGATATATTCTTAGCGATAACTCCATACATTTGAATAGGCTTATCAATTTCTCTCTGGACCTTATGCAAACATAAAGTCTAATAAGGCCTAAAAGGAAGATGTGTTGGGAATTACTAACGTAAACGCCACAAAGATTGTTTTCTTCTTGCAAAAAAGAATGTTCTCAAGCATAAATGACCACTAGGATCGTAATTTACAACTAAATTTTTCACCAAATCGAAGGTCATCCACATCAGATTCAATCGACTCTAGCGCTACTTTACAAATTTTTGGACTCACAACTTTTCTGGTGCTTATTTATGGTGAAATTACTGTATGTTTTTCTACTATTGGGTTTTCACTTACTTTACATAACTGGCTAGTGTGTCCGTTGAAAAAAAATGTAGATAATCTCAATGAAAAACTTATGTAGGTGAGGATTTTAAGCGTCGACCTACTCATAGTTATTGATAATTCATAAAACTAAAGTTCAACAAGAAACAGTGAGAAGAAATGACAATTTTTTCCTAGCCACGAGTTTTACTGAACGATACACCAGTAGACAAACACGCTCAGCGCGCTTTTTACACCCAAACCGTGGCCCTAGGGAACATGAGCGCTGAAAAACCACAGTTTTCCTCGCTTTTATGCTTCTATTGAATATAACTTTTATACAAAAAAAGGTTAGTCATTCCCTATATGGACGACTCCACTCCAAGTCGAATACGTAGAGAACAAGAAAAAAGAGATTTGTGGTCGTAAAATGATCCAAGTGTTTCTATTTATTATGACTGAAGAGATATTTTGATACTGATGTATAAAAGGATAAGAGGATAAAGCTCCCGGCGTTGATCAATCCCTGAGGGATGGGCCATGCGTTCGACTTCATTAAGCATCGTTTGGAGGTGGTCGAATGCATATATGGCCTATGCAATGACTCGCGGTGGCCTACCGATGTATCGAGGCAGTGCTGCTACCCTTCCAGACAAGTTTGGTACCAATTTGCCGACCCCGGAGGGATGGAGGACTTGGTGGGCCATAGGCGCGGTGATCGATTCCACGTGTGTGTTGCAGGCCGCTTCCGACCACTGCGCCACATGCGCCCTTTATTAATGTATAATAGTCTCCAAAAATAAGAAAACAACATGTTGGGAATCAATAAACCTTAAACTAAGTGAAATGTTTTTCTGCGAAAGGAATGTAGACTGATGTAAAATTAAAATACAAAATATGAAAATAAACAACGGAGCATCCAAAATTGAAGTAGCAATGGTTGAAAAATTGATGCGAATCCAAGGATTTTCCTGGAGAAGAAGAAAAGAAAGAAACCAACTCGAGTTTTGTGATAAATCGATGTCGTCATCACCCAACAAAGAATTGAACCACATCTTTTCTGAGCCAACGCTCCTTCAGAGACTTTAACGTGTCGTAGAAGGCTTTCATTGTATGTCCTAGTAATCAATACTAATCAATAAACTGTTTCATAAAAACTAAAATTGGCGTTAACTTTTGTAGTGATTATAAATTTCTTCTTCGAATGTAAAAGTAATGCTGCGTATTGGGAAATGATGTTTTAAAATAAATGAAGCCACATTAAAGACTAAATACTTCACACACTACAGAGTTTTTTTTAAGAATACTAATAACTTTTACATTCATTCGGTGGTTATTGATTGATTTTACTACTTGTTCATTTGCAAGATTCAGTGATTCAGGAATGCTTCTAAGCTTGGCATTTCTACACTGAAGGGATACACTGTTCATGGGAGGATACGCTAAGGAAAAAACTTATCAACACAAAAGATAAGACAAAATAAATTACTTAAGTTTTCACTTACTCAAATCCGCTGACATCAATCGGGATGAATGGAAGAATTTCGATGCCAGTTTTGTACTGGACTTTATACAGAAAGTACGTAAACATGAAGAACAACCAAAAGAATATGATATGTGATGATTTCCATCGTCGCATCCGGAGCGGACGTATTTGTCTTTTCAACGAAACCTCAAGCAAATCACTTCAGGAATCGAGAGAATGGTCGTCATATAATGCAGGTATCAGCTAGTGCAGTAGGAGTCGTTGACGCAATTGTCCGACGCTGCTAAGCTACGTGAGCAAGCACTGCGACGACGGGCGGCAACGACGACGACGATGACAACGGAATGTTAACGACGCTCGTCGCAGCCACACATCGTCTTAGCCTCGTCACACAGTCGCGTCACCTCGCCTTTCCTCTTTTTCCTCACAACATTGTCATTATTCGCGATTTTATTCATACGACTTTTCCTAGCACGAACTAATCTGAATTCGACGTGGGTAGAAATTAAATCTAGCAAGAAACAAACGAAGACTATAGATGGAAACAAGCGTTGTTCTCCGGAAAAATGAGTGAAATGGAAGGTGTATTAGTGGCGACCTCTGAAGAAAAGCCTTCAGTTCGCAGAATTCGCATCGGTACACTGGTAAGATTATGCGGGACTCATTTCTTCCAGAGCCTTTTCCCTGCTTTTTTCCTCTCTTAAGATTTTCATGTTCAAAACACGTCGAGGATGATGCACACCAGACTTTAAGAATGCTTATACAACGGCTAATCAGAGATGACCTTCGTCAGGTTCACTTGTCGTTACTTCACATATCACTCTGAATCACTACAGCAATATTTCCACTAAAATTGATGTTGAAGTTCGTGTGTTTCCCAAAAATCATCGTCTTTCAAAATTTTTTATAAAACTTTTAAATTTAATAAACTTACAAGACAACCTGCGGAATCGGTGGTGGAATCGCCTCCTATTATGGGTTCACAGATTGTGCTCATCACATTAGAAACTGCGAATATAAAAATTTATTGTTCAGGAAACTAAAATGAAAGGCATAGGAAGGTGATTTTGAAGAAAATATGAAGAAAACGTAACATGGAAATATAAATCGGTCTGTATTGGCTAAAAATTTGTTAGTATCGTTCGATTGATAGAAACGATAAAGAGGACATCATTTTTCAGATATGACCGTTGTGAGTAGAGCAGTGGTAGTAATTCGGTTCAATATTTGTTAAGAAGCGGGTTCGACACCACAGCCGGTCAACCAAGATCCTTCATCTCACCGCGGTCGTGAAATTGATGACAGATTTTCTGGTGATTAGCGAACTGCCTATATTCCACAAAAGGTAGCAAATGCCTTCAATAGACATCTGGGGACCACTATTGCACGGTTTTTCCAAGGATTCCAGCGAAAATCGATTCGAACAGTATTCAACGATATTCATGGATAAAGAAAAGGATAAAGCTCTGCGTTGATCAATCTGTGAGGGATGAGCCATTCGACTTCACTAAGCATCGTTTGGAGGCGAGTGAATGCATATCTGGCTTTTACAATGACTCGCGGTGGCCTACCGATGCATCGAGCCAGTGCTGCTATCATCTCAGACAAGTTTGGTACCAATTTGCCGACCCCGGTGGGATGGAAGCCTTGGTGGGCCATGGGAACGGGGATCGGTTTTATGTGTGTGTTGCAAGGCGCCTCCGACCACTGCGCCACGTTCGCCCTACGACATTCAAGATGGAGACAAATTTCCCAAATGCAACTGCATCCACACGCAAGGCCTTCATGCACGAGAAAACAAATCGACTGCAAGAAATATGGGGACCAGTACAAAATGCGATATCAGGCTACGTAAAAACAGAAGTGGCAAAGATTTGCATGTCCCAAAGTCACATGTTGTGCGGATCTCAGCACTTTTCTATTAGCCTTAGTATCCCACATCCCTCGCCCATGAATGTCCTCGGAGATATGTGTGGACTTGGCTGTTACTTGAGAATTTTTGACTGTCCTCATGAATGTCGTTGGATGCTTGCCAAGTCGACTGTCCGTGGATTCCTGAGGTAGGTCAGCATTCTTAGGTTTTCACCACAGAAGTTCGCAGACATTTGGGCGCCGATGGTAGGTTTTCCTAAAATAGTTTGGTATCAATTCGCCAACACACGAAAGATCGGAAGCTTTATAGCCCAAACCGATGCGTGGTCGAACTAACGACCAATCGTATATTGCAGGGTACTTCTATTCTAGTCAATTTACGACCAAAAACAAAGGAAGATTTAAAAATCCAGCAAAAAGGAATTTTCAAATTCTTAATAAATCAGATATTCTTTTTTGGATACTTGAACATCCGAGCGAGAATTAAATCCTAAACTGGAACGAAAAACACATGAACAGTGATAAAAAATTTCAAAACAGAAGGAAAAATGTCAGTCGACGCAAGTGAAAACACAGTGATGATGGCACGGAGGAAAAACAGAACAGGAAAAGAAAAAACAAGGATGAGGAATTTCCCAGATCGTTTGGTCGCCAGCCGGCGTCGATGCATTGCTTATGAGAAAGTATCCAGCGAATTTCTGCGATCAAAATCAAACAGGATCGCGAAAGCAACTTGAACGACCACCACCGCCGCCGCCGTGGAGTTGCTCGAGATTAACATCACGACGAAGAAGGCAGAGGATAACCGGCCACAATAATAATAATAATTACTAATAAGCATATGAAATCATTGAAATAGGAATAGGCATATATCGTTTAATGTTTTGACTTTAATTAACGTAGTGGTTAAAGCTGCTTCTACAACACACATGATTCTTGGTTCAATCCCAAGTTCCTAACTACCTGTGTTTTTCAGCTGTCTAAAATTGCCAAAAATCCCTCACCGAGTCAGTTGCTTAGGCCAAATATGCATTCGTACACCCCGATGATGCCACCTGTAGAGTCGGGTGTGTGACGCTTACCCAAAAGACTTATCAATGCCTATCCCTTTGTTATACAACTTTTTCTCTTCTACATTTACAAATATTTTTATGTTACCTACCACCTTCTCAAAATTGAAGGCTGTTCTTTAGTGTTGAACTACAATGGGCAGTATGGCTCATTGTCCTACGAAGGTCACCGAAGCTGAAAAATATTTCAACACCTCTATCCGGAAACTCCACTAATGGTACTAAATGAGCTCGATAACGCATCTTTGCGGTGTTTCCTGGATGCTGCGTTGCGATGTGCAGCGGGTGATTCATCTCCAAGGTCTCCCAAGCTGAGAAGGAGTTCAGTGTTTCCACCAGGAAGTCCAGCTAAGATTAAACCAATACCAGGATCCTCCGCCGTCTTGGTACCAAACTAGTCGCATGGTGGCAAATCTCCCTCTGATCCACAAGAGCGGAGACTGCTTGTGGTGGTGACAACCTGGGTCAAACTTTGGCCTAGTTGATCTCGGCACTCCAGGGAACCACAATGGCTAAGTCAGCAAAACTCCGAAATAATGGAAATTTCGCTGGTGTTCGCACAACCAATGAGAACGGGCCATCCAATTATCCATGTAAGTAACTCGTCGTAGCTCTATCCTATCACATCTTCGCTTTTCGAACATCATCCAGAGTTTCTTTGCTCCTCACTCATCTTTAACTGCCACGACCGACTTTCTATTAACCTCGGCAGTGATCAAGTGATTTTGTCCGTATTTTTTTGAGCAAACGCGAGGTGTTATAACACCTCGCGTTTGCTCAAAAAAATACAAACAAAATCATCTTTAACTGTTTATCTATCGAATTATCCTTTTTCCTCAAACATCCGAATGTTTTTCTAAGCTATTTTTCCCTCCACTATAAGACCTATAACGACCTTTCATCTAATGGGTTGGTGCAAAAGGTCGTCACAGTCATACAGGTTGGCGCCGTCGTGTCGCCAATTCGATCTATTATAGATTTCAAGCGTCTTCTCTCCGGCTGTTATTTGACACGTTTCACTTCAATGAGCATAGAAAAAAGTCAGTCAGAAACTTTCACAACGAGGTCAGGTCATGCGTAAACACAAAAGCCTTGTCGTCCATTTTTGGACTTTTGGAGCTTCTCGAGAATGGTTCAAGACTGCCTCCGTTTAAAAAGCACCTTGTCGCTAAATTTGAAGCCAAACCAAATACGCCATTAGGCGAGCAGAGGACGCGGACACGTAATAGAGAAGATTTTGAAGCGAAAGTCGTTATCGTTGCACAGGAATCCAAAACATCATCGTGTAAAACTCTTGAAGAATTTTGGATAGATTCCGAAAGTCCGAAAATGAACCGCTACGAGGAATGCGTTGTGATCACGCCTGTCCTCCTGCAATACCTCAGGCTGATTCTACCACATGACCTAGGCAAGTTCCACGTCTATCAAGGACTCTCTGCGGCTGCTCTCCACCAGTTAACTGGAATATTTATAAGGAATAAAACGGGTGGTGCTTGAAAGAAGCTGTTTATTATAAAAATGTAAAATTATGTGTTAAGTGTTATCTGCTAAAGCTATGAAAGTGTTTGGCTGAGTTGATTGCATGTCAAATTGGTATTCCCAGGACCTGAAGGGAGAAGACGAAATCGCCCAAAGGTCGGCTATTGTGTATGAGGAAATTCTATAATAACAAACTCATGTTTGCTCATCAAGAAAACAGCGAGTTCTTGATCAATGGAGGTCTGCCCTGGGATTCGATTAAGGACTTTTGTGCTCTGATGTTTTCGATTTCTATTCGAGAACGTTTACTTCCACTTCAAAATCTTTCCTGTTATGTCTCTGTGTCCTATGGCTCCTAGTAGAGTATTTGGTTCAACTTTAGATTTCCCAATTAGGTAATCTTCTACACAGAAGCAGAATGGTCTACCCGTTTCGTCAACGTATTGTTCCCCACACGCTTTACAAGAGATTGGATAAACCGTACCTGAACTGATGCATTCACCGTCTCTACCGTTAAGGCATTGAGCGTCTCCCATTGAGGGTCATACAATCGGTTACGAACTAGCTAATATCTTAGAGTGTTGGCTGGTGTTTCAATCACTGCTACTTGTTTCTCTAATCCTACACCTTTAAAGTAACCCTTTACAGCTATACCCACTTCGTTGGAATTGAAGGGTAGGATGGATGGGTCCCTGTTTTCACTAAAGTTATTGCTTTGGAACGTAGTTTTTCCTCCAAGCTTAACACGTTTAGCTATCGCTTCGTAGCCGTTAGCAATGACTGTTTTTCGGAATAAGTCCAGGGATCCCTTCTTCTGCTCTCTTCCTGTACACTTACTGGCCAATACAAGCAACATTTTTCATGCAAGTGTCCTTTTAGTGGGTAAAGGATGAGAGGGGAGGTAATAAATCAAGGTGTTTTTCCTACTAAGCCTTCGGTACTACTTGGTTGTGTAGCCGTTTTTGGACCGGTTGATATGAACGTTGAAGAATGGATGTCGATCTTTCTTCGGTTTCTCTCGAGTGAAATTTATGTATCTGACTGTTGGTTTAGCAATTCAAACATCTGTCCATCTCCTCCTTTGCTGAGTAGGCGATAAAACACCCGTCGATATACTTACTATAGAGTAGTGGCTGGAGAACGAGTACTTGTGCTTCCACCTTAGACACGAAGGCAATAGCAAGGCGTGGTGCCAGTCGTTGTCTCATTGTCAGCCGTCCCATTTGTGTGAAATACTTCCCACACCAAATAAGGGTAGGGTTGAGCAGTGCAGGCACTCTTTTCAGAGGGCTATCAACTGCTGAATCACAAAGACATACATATTTATTGCTCCTGCGTGTTCCACAAGGAGCTTGCGGATGGCTTGCATTGTGGAATCATTTGATACGTTGGTATGAAGGACAATGATGTCAAAAGACTTCATCACGCATGCGCGCGTTACGAAAATGATCCAGGTACATTTGAGTAATCCTGAGGTTGGCTAGGATGTGTTTCAGCAGCTGCATAAAAACTAGGTTTATGAGCCTACTCAGCTCATAAGCCCGACCCAACCGATGGTTTATTTATCCCTGAAGGTTGAAGGGTCAGAACACGCCAGACCATCAGTGGATATCAAGCTATCCGTTCTTCTACGTATAAGATGGGAAATTGGTGCTTCAATTTTAAGCTGAGGAGTAACTGCTGATTTTAAACCTGCGACGCTTTGCCACTTTGAGCTATTACATTCTGCTTTCAGTATTGACTTTTCAATTCCTTTCCAGAAGATGCGTGATAAAAGCAGAGCGTCTTCAAGATGTTTTCCCGTTATCTCAGCATGTAACTGACGAGGAATTTGCGAAGTATCCACGTTCATCGCGAAGTGATAATTTAATTATTTTTGGTTTTATTAGTTCTTGAACCTGTAGCATACCACATTTTTCGCTCCTGTGAAGCTGAAACTTTCCCTCGCGATAATGGTTATGGATTTGGAGTGTTTCTTCCCGAATTTGATGCCTATAGAGAATTTCTCTATCAAACAGAGAATACTCTACTTCCGTAAGAAGTCTTGGGTAGTTGGATACTTAGATGGCCCATCTTCACTGCTTTTGTGGACCCCAGCAAAATTTCCATTTTTTCGGAGTTTTGCTGGTTTAGCAATCGTAGTTCCCTAGAGACCTGAGGTCAGCCTAACCAGAGTCTGCCCAAGTCGTCACCATCACAGACAGTCGCCGCTGTTGTGGATCAGAGGGAGACTTGGCACCATGCGACTAGTTCGATACCAGGACGGTGGATTCTTGTATTGGTTTACTCTTAACTGGGCTTCCTGATGGAAACGCCGGACTCCTTCTCAGCTTGGGAAGCTTTGCGAGTAAATCCTCGTTGTACATCGCAGCCCGACACCCAGGAACACCTTCCATTCCCTATGAGGCGGTGAACCGTTGAGAGAACCTAACAAACATTCCTTATATTTTTGCGTATTTAATAAAGGAACTCTTTTTGGCGACACGACAGAGGACATGATTTGGCGGCACCATAGCTATATCGTCTGTTGGCCCTCAATTGCATAATCATGGGGTGTGGAGACTAACCGCATAACCAGAATTGTCCAACCCGTCTCCGCCCTTTCTCTGGTGGTCTTCAATGGCATAACTAAAATTGGCTAGGCCGTTATACAGAATTTCTCTATAAAAGTAGACTGTCGGCCTCGCCGTTGTGATCTTGCTGTTTAATGAACAATCGAGGAAAAGAAGCTGGTGATAATTCCCCTACTGCTTGCTGTTCATTCCTATAAAACCTAGTTTTGTGACGGAGTTAATTTAGAAGCACGCGATCCTATGCAGTGGTTCTTTAAAAATGTGTTGCGCTGGTGGGAAACTTGGTCGCAATTCTAATAGGCGGCGCGCGTCATCGGGAAAAGACTTGCCCGCTAAAACGGTGGCCCCTTGTTTTTCTGGCTCGTTATTGACACCGGTTTGACTCTTACTGCCTTCATAAGCAGTGTTTCTTTGTTTTATTGAAGACGATGTACGCGATTCGTCTACTAGATTTTCGAATTTCCTGTTTAAGGGTGCCTCAGGATTCGACCTAATCGAATTGCAAGTCAATATTGAACCACCCGTTCTCCTCTAAAACTGATTCTCAAATACTGAGCAAGAAGGATTCCTTCGTCTCGCACTTCTTCATTTGAGCGTACATGTTCTCCTGCTTCCATCGAAGGGAGTCGCGTAACAATTGCATTTCGATATCCAGTACTTGTTAGCCACCCAACGGTCGGAGCGATTCATCTCTCCGGCAGTGTCTCGCAAGCTGAGGAGTTCGGCGTTTCCACTGAGAAGCCCAGCTAAGAGTAAACCAATACTGGAATCGACCACCGTCCTGGTACCACCTCTGTCACCTGTAGTCCCGTTTTCGAGTAATTCGAGCGGGAACCAGTAAATCTTCCATTTTTCCCTGTCCAGTGCAAAAGTAGCCCAGTGGGTTCTGCTCGCTCTAGGGACTCGTCGAGCATCATATATTTCTTTCAGGCTCTTCGTGGAGAACTCTGACCATCGTGTCGGTGGTCTCCATGCAGTGCGTTTGACATCCAGATGAATCCAGTCACTAACAGCTCTTGTCCATCGGTTGGCATTCTTACGCATTACGTGTCCGGCCCACCTTATCTTCGACTGCTTGCCGTACAGAACGGCATCTTCGATTTTTCATCGCTGACGTAGGTCGGAGCTTCAGATCCCATCCCTTACTTGTGTGAAACGGGATAATCCTAGCATCGTCCTTTCGACTGCACGTTTGAAAACGCTGATCTTTCATCCTGCTTACGCAGCGACCAGGTTTCTCATGCATACGCGAGGGCAGGAAGTACCGTTGAGTCGAAAAGGTGAGGACGGAGTTGGGTGTTCTTTGTCCTCTTCATTACATCCTCGATGCGCTTGAAAGCTCCGCAGCCCGGTCGTTTCCTTCTGCTCAGCTCAGGAGCTAAGTCGTTCATTACATTGATTTCCCGACCTAGGAAAACATAACTAGAGCATTCAGAGATATTCGTCCCGTTGAGCGTGAATGGGCATACGAAACCATTCCGTTCCTCATGAACATCGTTTTTGTGAGATTTAGTCAAAGACCAATCTTTCCACAGGCTCTATCAAAGTCGGCAAGCATACGTTTCGCTTGGCTAATGTTTGGTGTTATAAGGACGATGTCATCAGCAAAGCGAAGATGGTGTAACTGCCAACCATCGATTCTCACTTCCATATTATCCCATTCCAACGTTCGCATGATGTTCTGGAGAGTGGCGGCAAATAATTTTGGTGAGATGGTATCGCCTTGCTTAACTCCTCTTTTGACGTCAATGTTAATATCGTTATAGAATTGTGATATCTTGTATAATGCTGAGAGATTTGCAAAACACCTGACCGCAGGTGTCTGCGGTGGGGAATAAACGCGCCATTCCCTTTTCCGGAGAGTAACGCGTTCACCACCGCACCATGCGGGTCCTTCGTTTCGCCTGTCTCTCAGCTAATTCTATCGATCACTGCCATCAGCAATCACCCGTCAATGAGACTGATCTGATACTCCCCGGAAGGGACAACAGCGCATTCGTTCCCCACCGCAGACACCTGCGGTCCGAAGTTTTGCAAATATCCCAACATTATAGAAGTTATATTTCGCAACATACATTATCATTAAAAAGAATAGGCAGTAAGTAAAAAGGTTATGATGGTGATATCTCGGTTATGAAATTTTTATACAACTCACGAAGAATCTTTACGTACTGAGTAGGGACTCCTTGACTATCAAGGGCTTCCATGACTGCTTCTGTCTCAATCTTACCGTCCTGGTACTAAGTTTAATGGTAGCCAAATCTCCTTCTGATCCACAATGGCGGCGACTGCTTATGGTGGTGACGACCTGGGGTAGACTTTGGCCAGGCTGATCACGACGCTTCAGGGAACCATGATGGCTAGACCAACAAGACTCCGGAAAAACGGAAATTGTGCTAGGGCCCGCACAGTGAAGACGGGCCATTCAAGTATCCAAGTACTTGGTGGATGTCTTCTAGTGAATCGCATACATCGCGTAGTTGTTCCTGTTCGATGAAATCCGGCAGAACTCAGTGTTTTCGGCAGTGGTAGAGAACGTGTCCCGCTTGTCTAGCAAAAATGATCTTCTGTCTTCGTGGCAGAACTTTTTTAACTAGTCCGCAGCACTTTGTTAGTACTTCACGGCTACTAAGTTTAGTATAAAAACAACATTTCGATGGTTTTTTAGGAAAACACCACTAACCTTTCCCCGAAGGACGAACGTCATGCCCAAATCGTCTTTCGTGTAGCAATAACTTCCTTGACGTGTTTCATGTAGTGGCGTACGCAACTACACAGACCCATCTTCAAAAGTCGACAGTGCTTCTTTGTTTCCTCCGGATCTCTGCAAATCGAGTACGTCACTTCTTGACTTTCGATGGAACCGGTCCTACTGAGCGTTCATGAGAAGTACTTCATCGTTCAAGGATTCGCGGCTGGATGCCGATGCGACGGTCGTGGGTATGTCAATCATCGCTTTTGACTTAATAACACATTGACAATATCCTGTGCTACCTATTATGTCTTGTTTTGTTTTATGCAAGTCTATTTATTCTTCCTGTTTTCTTTCGTTTTTGATTTGCTGTCTTGTTGTTTGATTTCAAGTGTTGACGACTTTCGCCCGATATGGATTGAGAGCCCTGCTTTGGACACAACAAATGGATCAGCAAGAGTGAAGATTGATACAACTGATATTCTGGTACGTTATAAGCTTTATAAAGTCGGTAGAATTTTGTGTTTTTTGCTATTTTCGTATCGTTTTCACTAAGTTGTTTTCGTCTTGGCCTTAATTCCAAAAGAAAAACCTTTCAATATGTATTCTTTCTTCGATAATCTTGCACAAAGTTGATAAATAATGTTTATTTTCGGCTAAAGTTGCAGTGTCTCCGTCTTCATTAGAGCATGGATTCGCAATCATCGGCTCTGATGACGATAACGTCGATGCGTTGCATGGATAAATCTCGGCGTTGATCAATCCGTGAGAGATGCGCCATGCATTCGACCTCACTAAGCATCGTTTGAAGGTGATTGAATGCATATTTGGCATTTACAACGACTCGTAGTTGCCCACCGAAGTATCGCGCCAATGCTGCTATCCTCCCAAACAAGTCTGTACCAGTTTGCCGACCCCGGAGGGATGGAAGGCTTGGTGGGCCAGGGACGCCAGGGTCGATCCTATGTGTATTTCTGGCGCCTCCGATCACTAGGCCACACGCACCTTGTCGAAAGGTTAGCCGAAAATGTATATTATTTATCAACCTCGTGTAAGCTTATCAAAAGAAGAATACATATTGATCAGTCGTACCGGGGCTAAAGGAAAGTCGGTTTTGAAAAACCTTTCCATATTAAATCTCGTCAGTGGAAGTTTATCATAGGTAGGTGTAAAATGTGAAGTTTTCGAATGTGGAGATACATCACTGGTGCCAAACCATTTGCAATTCACTGTTGAGCCTTCATGCTTCGCTGCAGTTCGAACGGAAGGTAAAAAGATTTTGCATTTTCTTTTACCATTGATCTATTCATTGTTTGACATTTTTTAATCGAGACCAAATACAAACAAGGTTTTCAGCGAAAGGTGGTGAGTTTTTCACAAAGGCCATTGAAGCGTTGCTAGAAGAAGCCTATCATGGAAATGGCGACGTGATCCCTAACATGAACAGGTCCAAGAGGTTTTACACTGTTTTTAGATAAACGAATTCACTCTTTGTGTTCAGATTGATTTTATCGAAACAGTTTATGTGGAAAGTATACGTTGACGTGGTCATTCAACAATACGGGGGAAATATTGTTGACGCTATTTTCATCGCTGTAAGTTTTCTTTGATTGCTTTTTCTTCCTTTTTTATTTTTCCTTCTTCTTTGATTGGGTTTTTCCTGATGGCACTGGTAGATAGAAAGCTAGCTAAGAGACAAACGAAGCGCCGCATGGTGTGGCAGTGAACGTGTTAGGCCCTGGAAAGGGTAATAGCGCGTTCGTTCCCCACTGCAGACACCTGCGGTCCGGAGCTTTGCAAATATCCCAGTATCATTACGGCTGTAAGCTTTTTTTCGCAATAAAAACTGTTTTAATTGGTGACAGCTTTTTTGTACTTAATCAATTTCCGATGTTCTGTTGAAATTGTCCAATACCACATGTCTTAGGTGAAATCGGCTCTTCGTGATACACGAATTACACAGGTTACATTGGTAGCCCAGGATGAGAACAAATACAGCATTGAATGTGATGAATCTACCGAAACGAATTTTTTCCAACTTGAAGTTGACAGGTAGATATCTTTTGTTTGTTTGTTTCATTTGAGCAAAGAGTGAAGGGGTTGGAAGAGTTCCCAGACATTAGCTTAAAGCTTTGAGTCAACTGCTTGGTTTAGTAGATTCTTTGTCTGTCCGATTCTGTCATGAGTTACTTTTGTTTTTATCAACACCGTCATAAATAGAGCTTTTCTCTATCGCTGCCTCATCCATCAACCGTAACGTATTTATGCACTCCAAACTTACCATGAAGTTGCATCACAAGTTATGTTCCAATTTTAGGGTTTTATTTGCTAAAACACATTAGTTGATGATGTAAGCGTCTCTAAATCATCCATATTTGTCTAATGATTATTCAGTATGGAACAGTGTGGAATTTGTACGTAAAGGTGGGGTGGGGTATGCTAAAAGGGTTTCCGGATTGCTTTTTTCGTATGTCTTCGTTTCTGCGATTTCAGTGCTCCGTTATCGGTTACCGTTAATCAGATCGGTAAATCGATTGCTGTTGACTGTACAGAGATAGAGGAGGCATTGTTACGTACCTCATTATGGGTAGTAATGGACCAACCAGAAAACGAGGTATATTGCATTATCATCCGAAAACTGTTTGCTGTTTATTTTCAGGAGTTCATTGAATGGGAACCATGTAAAGTCATATTTTTTTGTGGGAACTTTTCAGTTGTGTCAAGTTTCAAAGTGTAGATTTTTTAACTCGCTGTGGGGCACGAATGTTTTTTCCCCATATCCTGTCTTTATCCATTTTTGGTTCTTAATTAGTTTTTTATCGTTGGAATAGAGTTTGCTGCTGTTTTTTGGGGTTGCTTAAGGTTTGAAAGGATTGCAGGTGATGAATACATTGTTTCCAAAATTGCAAGGAAGCAGCCAATTTCAGTTCTGGTTTCTCAACCTTCGGTTACAGTCAAGTGGACCAATTTATTTTCCGTTGGATAGAACCAGTATTTTTTCATGGATTGCTTGTGGTATTTGATACTTGGGTGTGAATGAGTGTTGTAAACAGCAAAAGTCAGCTATAGGACCTAGCAAATGCTGTCAGTATTCAAGAAATACGAACTCTGCTTTTGTTTTCGAACTGCTTTACTGAAACGGTGATTGAAGATCCAATCTGGCCATTGGAGGAAGTCCTTCAGAATCCGAACTTCCGCCAGGTGTCATATTTGAAAGGATCATCATTGTTTTTTTCTTCATTCATCAGAACTCCTGCTAGTACAATAATCCGCTGTCTCTGAAAAGGCGAAGGTGTCCAAACTGTTACTTGGATAAAAGTTCTTTATATGAACCTCCCTCGTGTCAGCTCATTGTATAGAAAATTATTTATTATCGTCCGATATATTTGCTGAGTGTACAAGCTCTTCATGACGACATTCCTATCGCGCATATCAAGCACATTAGATGGGGCGCAAGCAATTGAACAAGAATGATTTCGACAGTCATTTTGCTGCATGGACCATTTCAAACCGTATCTAGGGTCGTAGAATTCCTTCGGGAATACCACTAGCCCTAGCGGTAACCGCTGTCTAATATGAAAAAGCGTTTGACAGCGTCGGAACGAATGCACTACTATCAGCGTTCGTCGACCAAAGAGTGGACCGTTCCTACATGAGAATTCTATCTGACTGTTATTGCAACTACCCCACGAAAACACAACTTTTTCATCGATCGTTTACCATAGCCGTGGTGAAGTGGGGTATGAGAAGGCGACACAATATCGCCGAAGCTGTTTACTACCTCACTGCAGTGGGTAGTGAAGTCAGTTCATTAGGGTGAGAAAGGCATACGTATTGATGAAAAATTCCGATTAAATCTTCGTTTTAATGATGACATTGTCATCTTCTGAATAGGTGCCATCAAAGTAAAGACGATGCTAATTGAACTCAACGAAGCGAGAAGAAATGCCGGGCTACGCATAAAGAGGAAAAAGACCTAGTTAATGAAAACTCACGGTGCGAAAGCGAACAGATAAAACCGGCTGGCTCTGTGATTACAGAGATCCCTTATAGCTTGGGCGTTCAGTGACCATGCAGAACAAACATGACGGAGGAATTAGACAGAGCAGGAAAAGCAGCTTGGGCCGCATTCGGGCCTCTTGAAAAGCCACCGCCCAACAAACGAAAATGTCGCGCACATTTTTTCGATTCAACAATCCTCGTAGCGCTCTGTTATGCCGCAGAGACAGGTGCCGATATTTCATCCTCGTCAAAAATACTGTATGACGTTCGGAACAGATGCGTTTTGGGATATAACGAGACTAGCACGCACAGCACCTGCCCGGAATACAAAGCTCTGATCCTCGAAATCCATCTCATCTTTGAGATCCAGGATAACAAAGTTGTTAGTGAAACCTAGATGCTCTGGTCATATAACGAGAAAAACAGACGACGAATGGACGAAAACAACTGTAGTGAACTCCACAAGGATGATAGTGGCCTCTAGAACGACAAACTAGACGTTGGGAGAACGTGTTCGTCGTTAAAGTCGATAAGGTGTACTCGCAGCTGCAGTTGTTTTACGAATCGCTTTATGAGACTCGTTTCCGTCACTATGCTCGAATAAAACCACCACCATGAACAACGATTACGAGGTAAAAAAACGATTGTAAAATGTGCTGTTGTCTGAAAAACTTATCAAGACGGTCGTCGAAATAGCCAAGTATATATTATTGTTTAGCAAACAGTTACAGCTGTAATGGACAGAATAACGGACATCTTTACTGATAACTGCTTCAAGAAATGGGATACACAGATATAACGACAAATTATAAAACAAGTTGTGTTCGTAACATAAAACACGATCACAGTTTGCACGGCTAGGAGACTTCGACGAATTCTACGGTGATTGAAACATTAGTGGTTATGGTGGTAATGTACGGTTTTCAGGGCGAAGGAAGGCATGTTTACATGGACAGTTGATGTGCAAGTTCTTCGTTGATTGGGAGCCTATTTTTGTGTCTAATTTTCGCATATGCTGCGCGGATCCTAACACTTTTTGCGTTCGACTCGTTTCCTGGAATCCATCATCCACAAAAACCTTTTAATATTTTGCGTTTGGATTTGGCTGCTGCTTGAAATTCTTTGTCCTCCTATGAATGATGTTGAATGCTGCTCGAATAGATCTTCCCTGAAGTCCTCGGTTGGGTTCTCACGTAGGATTGAAGAGAGTTAGCTGACCTGAAACAACTCTGGTACCAATTTCCCGCGCCCGGAGTAATGAGAGGCTTGGTGAGTCCAGGACGGGGACAGAGTGGTACCATGCTCGTGATTTACGGCACCACTACTTCTGTGCTAACAGCATATTTGACAGAGTTTACCCTAGAGAATATTATGTTTCATTGGCACATGAAGGAAAAGTAGAAGACTACTTCCCGAGTAGTGTTAGCTATGAGAGGACTTATGGAATTTGAACTGAATCGGAGAGTTATAAAAATGTTCAGTTGAGAGTATGAAAAGGATTATTACGATGTCATGAAGCATGAGACAAAACAGTGATCAAAAATTACAGCCACACAAAATTGTTGTGAATATGAATGGAAAAATGATGATCTGTCTTCTGTTTCTAAAGAAAATATGCAATTGGTAAACACATTTTTGCTTCTGTGTGGTTAAGGTAGTTTTTTTTTTCGCTGTTTTGTTAATTCAAACAAACGAAAGTGACCATATTTTAGAGGATAGCAGATGATCAGGTTCGCTTACGTGTCATTAAACAGATGGATTCAGGAGGAATGGATCCACGTTCCATTCCGGCCATGCTCGATTTGGCAATCAGGACTGGACGTAAACTACATGCCGAAGTAAACGCTCGACTTGATGCAATACGTAACGATGACAGTTGTCAAATTCATGGTCAATCATTCCACGTAGAGTAACATGTATTACTGTTGATCTTGTTGTTTGGTGATCTTACCTTGTTTGAAGTCTCTTCTGTTTTGAATAATCTCCCTGTTGTTGACAGTTGTGGTTGTTAACAGTTGAAAATAATTCATTTATTGTTGTTGTTGTTTCTGAACGAAAAATTAACTTGTCACTGTTTTTATCGACGAGCGTAGATATACTGATGGGTTTGATTTTGAGGACAAGGGGATTTAACAGAAAAGAAAATCCAATTAGAAAAATTCGCTTTCTGTCAAATAAAGAAGACAAAAATAATTAGACTTGAAGTACGTATGTAGCAAAAGGATCAAGCCTTTGGCGTTGATCAGTCCGTGAGTGATGTGTCGCGCATTCGACTTTACTATGCACCGTTGGAGGTGATTGAATGCATATCAGGTCTCGACAATGACTCGCGGTGGCCCACCGACTCCCAGAGAAGTACCAATTTGCTGATCCTGGCGGGGTGAAAAGTTTGCTGGGCCATGGGCCCCGTAATCGATACCACATGTCCCCGGGCGCCTCCAACACTGCGTGACATGCGTCACGTGTGTGGTACTACTAGCCAATTAACAAGCTCACTTATCATTGTTCTTCCTAATGGTTTACTGCTCTATCATAGCTTGGAGGTGTTCCTAGGTGTCGGGGTGCGATTTACGGTTGTGGTATTGAGCATTCCAGCAGGGTCCACCGAGCTGAGAAGGAGTCCGGCATTTCCATCAAGAAGCCCATCTACGAGTAAACCAACACCAGGATCCGCCACTGTCCTGGTATCAAACTAGTCGCATGATGGCAAATCTCCCTCTGACCCACAAGGGCTGGGGATACCTGTGCTGGTGACGACCTGAGGCAGATTTTCGCTAGGCTGACCTCGGGTCTCCAGGGAAACAATAGCTAAATCAGCAAAACTCCGGCAAATGGAAATTGTCCTGAGGGCCGCACCACCAGTGAAAACGGTCTATCCAAGTGTCCAAGTAGGCCTAACAACCGAATTTTCGACGCATGAGTTATGATAAGAGGAATAGTGTAGTCGAGAATTTGGTCCAGTCGAAAGTTCGTAAACTTCATCACTAAATTCTCGACGCTCATCAAAAGTCCTCATTACTGCTCGCTTTCACCTTTTTAGACTCGGGTCAAGTTTTTTATCATGTTGATTTTCGATGTGTATACTGCAGCATCCGGAAATATTCGCTTCATTGAGAATGAATGAAGCATCAGGAACCCATCCATTTATCGTGAACGAAGACCATCTAGCTCTATTATGAACAAAGAGGAGATATAACTACAGGCAATCGACTTTCACTTTTTCTGATCCCATTCCAGTTGCGCTCTCGAGGTCCTTTCGGCTGCGCTTTCGATTATGTTAAGTGACCTTTCATCCTGCTTACGCAGCGACCAGGTTTCTCACGTATACGTTAGGGCAGGAAGTACCATTGAGTCGAAAAGGTGGGCACGGAGTCGGGTGTTATTTGTTCTCTTCACTACATCCTCGATTCTCTCGAAAGCTCCCCAAGCCGCTCGTTTCCTTCTGCTCAGCTCTGGAGCTATCACATTGATTTCCCGAACTAGATAGGTATAACTGGAGCATTCGGGGATATTCGTTCCGTTGAGCGTGAATGGCGGATACGAGAGCATTCCGTTCCTCGTGGACATCGTTTTTATGAGATTTAGACAAAGACCAATCTTTCCACAGGCTCTATTAAGTCGGCAAGCATACGTTCCGCTTGGCTAAGTGTTATAAGGACGATGTCATCAGCAAAGCGAAGATGGTGTAACTGTCGACCATCGATTTTCACTCCCACATTATCTCATTTCAATGTCCGCATGATGCTCTGGAGAGTGGCGGCAAATAATTTTGGTGAGATGATATCGCCTTGCCTAACCCATCTTTTGACGTCAACATTAATATCGTTGTTGAATGGTGATATCTTGGTTGTGGAATTTTTGTACAGCTCACCAAGAATCTCTATGTACTAAGTAGAGACCCCTTGACTATCAAGAGCTTCCATGACTACTTCTATCTCAGTTGAATCAAGGGCCTTCTGTAAATCGTTGAAAGTGAGACAGAGCGGTCTTTTGCACTCTCGCGATACTTTAATGAGCCTTGTTACCGTGTGGATTTGGTCCACTGTACTAAATGCTTTTCGAAACCCTGCTTACTCACATGGCTGTCATTCGTCCAGTGTTCTATCAATCCTGTTTAGGATAACTCGAGTGAAAAGTTTGTAGACGACAGACAGTAAGCAGATTGGGGGATAGTTGCCGATATCGTGTAGGTCACTTCGTGAACAGTAGCATGGTCTTGCTGTGCTTCCACTGAGTAGGGACCTTGCATTCAGACAGGTATCGTGTGGAGAGCCAAGCCAGTGTGTTCACGAGGACTGGCGGAAGTTTTTTGAGGTATTCAGGTCTTATCCTGTCCGGACCTGGTGCTGTATTTTTCACTGACGAAATGGCATGTCTGATTTCGAAAGGGAGAACCGATGGTACAACATATCCATCTTCCTTTATTTCATTTGACGGGAGGTGAATATGGCTATCGAAGAGATCTGAGTAGTATTCGTGAATGATTGTTTCCATTGCCTTCCTGGACGCAGCATCTGTTCCGACATCGATAACGGCATCGTCCCAATAGTCGACTAATGAATTGAGTAAGTCGCAGTATGGTTTTGGGACTTCGGTTTTTTAATTTGGCGGCTTTTTCTCCTTTCTGCGAGAAATAGAACCCTTCATGAAGGAGGCGATGGTCGGATCCGGTGTAATATTCTGAGACAACATCGACATAGACAAAACCGTCCGTTTACTATTATGTGGTCTAGTTCGCTATGGTACTCTCCACTGGGAGGAGTTGAAGGTGCAGCTTCTGGAGTTACGAGTTACTCGAGATCCCTCATGTGAGGGAGTTCCGTGGCTGATGCAATCACATCGATTTAATCCTCTTAGCACAAACAAATCATCGCCTTCTGGATCTAGGATGCCTGATATCTTCTTCGTACTAATATAACCCAACGGTGCGGTATCGGAAGTTTTTTCGGTGTTGGGGGATCAGCCCTATTATTTCTGTTTTTGAGAACTGGAAGTGTTGGGTTACCGATCCAACTCAAACATGACAAAAAGTTATTTGTTGCAAGCAACTACTTCTCACCTCCAGTGTACTTCAAAGTCACTTGTTTTCATAGTTGTGCTTAAGTTGATGTTTCCACACAACAGAAGCGTGGTGTCGATCACCTGAAGCTGCTCACTTCTCGAATCAAGAATAAAGTTTCTTTAGAATCGGAAATTCGACTTGTTATTTTTCCCTAGACAATTAGGGCTTGTGGTTGCAGGATTCGTTACTATCAAGGCATTCTTCCCTCTTTGTAGAATTCCAACGTCAGAGCAGCAAACTTTTCTTAGATCCAGAAGGAAGGGTAAACACTTTGGTGAAGAACTAAGAAAACTCTAATTGGGTAATCTCATGATACCAGGAAAAATCGTACACTCCAAAATGTCGTCAATTTTTATTTACTGCCTACTAATTTTTAATGGTGGGTGGGGCAATATGTGAAATATAACCACAATGTTGCCGAGATATTTGCAAAGCTCCGGACCGCAGGTTTCTGCGGTAGGGAACGAACGCGCTATTGTCCTTTTCAGGGAGTAACGCGTTCGCCATCGCCTCATGCGAATCCCTCGTTTCGCCTGTCTCTGAGCCATGTTATTGACCCATTCAGAATCGTCATGTTAGTGAAGGAGGAGGTTTACGAATTCTTAAGTCTAAGGTATGTTTCCTTTGATAAGCTTACACGGGCTTGATCCATAATCTTTACTTGGCTAACGTTTCGACTTCTTCGTCTTCATCCGAGCGGATGATACGAGTCGACGATCAGACTAGAATTTTTTATGTTCCCAAGTAAAAGTTGAAGCACCACATGTAGTCATCCATTTTTATAGAGAAGGGTTTCAAGAAGCTGAAACAAGTGGGTAAAGTCCAGGGACACTAAAACAATTTGAACCACTGGTAATAATTTCTTAATTGGAAGTTTGTGCTACAAAATTTTTTAAAATAAATCTGTTTAGCTGTGCAGGGATTAGTTAATTTGCCGTAACTAGTCGTTCTAAGACACTTTATTGGTTTTTTAAAGAGAAAAATGGAATGAATGTGGAGGCATAACAAAGAGATAAAGTGTTCGATCGTGGAGGTGAATGAATGCGTATTTCACCAAATAAAGAACTTCGTAAAGCCAAATGAGGTATAACGTCAGGGTTTCTATCCTCCCATTCAAGTCGAATACCAATTTTTTCTTGTGGTGGAATACAAGGGTGGGTGAGATCGAGGTGCTGAATCGCACCAGAGATCCAGCGTGTTTTCAAAACCGATTGTCACATAATCTGGACATGAGTAATCGGCCTTCTCTTAAATTATTATGCTAACATGTGTTGGTTACAAAGGTTTTATTTGGCTGACTTTTCGGTGCATTCCTTTCCTTTAGAGCGGTAGCAATTCCAGGCGATTGTATGCAGTCTTTCGTCCTTCAACGACGGTCTTCATAGCTACATCAAATCGAATTTGCTGAAGTGGGCCAATGTCAGAAGCGCAGTAGAACCTTTATAATAGCATTGTATTAACTTAATAACCTAAGAAAATATTGATCGAATATGCATTGGAGCCCAACTCTAGGCACTAAACTGCACTCGCCTTCATGGAAGGAAGAATGACGGTTAAAAAATCCTTCCTATCTTGTCAGCCGTCGCTATCACTTCATATATACAAGCTTATAGAATAAGTTTACAACTTTCTATAATACTTAGTCAGTTAAGAATTTCATTCGACACTAACCTGTTTGCTAACTGGTGAGTCAGATTTTAGTTTAATTAACCTCATTAGGATCCTTTATGATTACAACAAGTGAATGGTAGTTAATGTATTAGCAGATTACCAGATGTATTACTCATACGACTTGCCTTATAATGATGGCATCTATCGAAACACGACGTTGCCTCCTTCGTCGCCAGAAAA